TTTAACCAGAGTAACTCACTGTGGTTTGGGGTTGGCATGGTCGGAGCTTCTTGCCTTTTTAGCCAGTAGATTGATAGCATAATGGCCTGAGCTCTAACAGTGGGAGGCCTGGAGGGTAATATTTACCTTATCACCATAGCCTGAAGGAAAGAACATCCCCAGTACTTCTGCCAGTTAGGACTGGTCTATCTCAAAAGGTATTGCCAAAAGTATATTTACTTGTGATTAGAAAAGTCACTATGGTCCTAGCAAACTATTCCTCCTCTACCCTCAGTTTCCAGTGTCCAAAGCAATGCTGAACTGTAGAAGTTTAGACTAATAAGACAGTATATGATTTGATGGGAAAACCATAGACTATTTTTAATAGTAGTTTTATACTTTAAAATAGAGTACATCGAAAATGAATTTACAGAGCCTTATGGAGACAAGTCTTTAGATAACAAACTTGAAGTAAAATGGGAAGTGATCTTGCAACTGGCTTATCTGTTGCTATAAACCACCTTTCTTCATTCTTGGGACTGAGGTGTGAGGGAGATGCAGTTTGCTGAAATCTTAGAGAAATCTCACCACCGTCAGCATCTGTTATCTACAAAGGTATGAGGAAACATTGCTTTTCTGATATTTTATCTGGCATTTTACACACACACACACACACACACACACACACACACACACACACAGAGTACTTTGCCAACTGCTGGGTAGAGAAACTAGTAATTAGAATCAGGACTTGTGAGGAATACAGCAGACTATATTATTGGATTCTGACATTGGCCAGCGAGAGGAAGGGCATTTGAGCTGGAAATGGACAGAGGGGTTTTGGGTCTTGATCTTTGTTAATGCCCCACCATCAGATTATGGGTTTTATAAATGGAAGGCTAACCTTTATGGATTGAAGTTTGTTGAGATAATTGGGAATTATGAGGCTTAAAAAGAAGTTCTTGGGTTGTCTTCGTAATAGAACTAGAGAAAGTAGCAAAAGAACTAGAGTGTAGGATATACATCTTTAGGAATGTATTTCAGTGCAGGTAACCTCTAAAATGATTGTTGATAAAGATCCAGCTCCAAAACTTGTCCTAGTCTTCTACTGAGTTGTTTGGGTTTTGTTTTGGAACTGAGAGCAGTTGGCATTGGTATGGTACCACCTGCCCTTTCTCAGAATGATGCAGTGTTAGCCAGCCTGCTCGGAGAACAACACATACTTCCCTTGAATAGGTTTTGCTCTTCTGAAAGAGAGGCTTCCTGTAAGTTTTTGCTTTGATATAACTTTAGGAAAAGCTCACTCAAATTATTATCCCTACTTCCTGAACAAAAGTCTAGTATGAGATTGTGCTTTTGTATTATTTCTCAAATTTTGCTTAGAAATGTTGTCCCCATAGATAATAAATTATGATCATTTCTGAATAGTATCTCTCAGCTTGTGCCTTCAGAATATGATCTGGCCACTGATAGCCACTTTATAGGTTGATCTTGAGAGTTAGAGATGCATAATCTAACACCTGTGCCCTGGAAAACACCTGCACTGCTTCCAGCCAACTTCATTCCCTCTGCCTGGCAAATGACCCTATGCCTGCTCCCCGGGGGTTTCGTCCTCAGTATGGGTATTTCCGCTCCATTACCATGTGCCTTTACAAAGGCTTAAATCCGGTCTCCAAATTTTAACCACAGAAACTTGTAATTTATAAAATTATATACATGCTTTGGGGTTTAGAGTTGTATAGTATAGCTGACTATTGGAAAACAAAATAGAGGTATTTCAGAAGTCTTTAAAGTGTTTCTCAATTTGGAATTGGTTAAACTATCAAATCATTAAAAAGATATTATTCATTAAATGCTTTGTTAAAGGAGAGGGTAATTGTGAGCAGTATTGTTAATTGTGGATTCTTACACAAACTCTCCAAAATCTAGAGCAAAGGAAGCTGCCCATGAAAATGGTCCTTGGGCCAATGTCATTTTGCTCCCACAAATCTTAAGGACACCCTCCCCCACCTTTCTTTCTGACCAAGAATCTTGATTTGTTTTTATTTTGTATATCTTTTTTTAATTTAAAATTATTTTTAATTTTGTCTTTATTTTGTATGATATCTAGTTATCATACTACTCACCTACACATTCTTACTTCTGAACCCTGTGGTATGAGTATTAAGAACAGACTTTGTAGCTGTTTTATAGAAGTGTTTTACTTTGGTAGGAGAGGTTTCGGGGCCTGACCTGGCAGAGCTTTGGGATCATTCCTGGTGATGCCCCAGGGCCATTGGTATGGTGCCAGGGATGAAATTGAGATACCTCACTTGCAGTGCAAGCTCCTTAACCCTGCTTGTCTCTGTCCCAGTATTTTACTTTGTAAAGAAATGTAATTTCTGAACCATTAGTAGAATTAACATTATTCTCTTGTAAGAATGAAAGGGAAGCAAGATTTCTAAGCAGCATTTTCTCATTAGATACTCTGCGTGTTGCCTGTTTTCCATTCTCATGTGCGTCTTTATTGTAGAGCTACCAGCTTTTTGTTGTTATTCTTTTGTTTGGGGGCCTTAGTGATGCTCAGAGATCACTCCTGGCTGTGCTTGGGGTACTATGTGTAGTTCTGGGGGTTGAACTGGCACCTGCTGCATGCAAGGTAAAAGCCTAAACCTCATTACTATCTGCCCAACCCCAAGTGGCCAGCCTGTGACCTATTATGAGTGCTCACTGCCCAGCCAAAGCTGTGGGCCTTGCTTGTGTGGGAACAAACCTAGGCAACACTTGAGTATTTTGGTTATTTGCTTTTGGCAAAATCCTGCTGACTTTATATGTTTAAAAAACATTTTTGGGGGGGCTGGAGCGATAGCACAGCGGGTAGGGCATTTGCCTTGCACGTGGCAAACCCAGGTTTGAATCCTAGCATCCCATTTGGCCCCCTGAATACTGCCAGGAGTAATTCCTGAGAGCATGAGGCAGAAGTAACTCCTGTGCATCACCGGATGTGACCCCAAAAAAAAAAACAAAAACAAAACCATTTTTCTGGAGCATGTGTATTTGTGTCTTCTACATAAGTACTTTTGGTGATTCCCGATATGTTTTAAGCTATGGTAACTTTCAGGGTTGTTCTTTTTTCATATTATGGTATCAGGCTACATATATATCCTGTTTGTCTTTAACTTAGAAAAAAGAAAAGCAAAACAACTTCATTTGGTCTATGGATCAGATGTTACAGATAAGGAGGCAGTACTCCTCTTTCACTGCAACTGTGGTATTCAACAGAGTAGAATGAGCCCCCACTGGGTGGTCAGCTCTCTACTCGAGGACACCGGGCTCTATACGAACATCCAGACTTCAGAGCAGGTCTGGTTCCTGAAGCACATCATCATAAATCATCCTCCCATCATCCCTGTCAAGGAGGGAGGTTTTGGATGCTATTATGACCATAATGAAGATGGAGAGTTGAAGTTGTTGCAGGCACATTAAAAGATTTTCTCAAGCTTTGTTCGTGACAGAGATGTGAAACTGGAACTGGGCTATCCTGTCAACCGGGCTTACCTACCAAATCAGGAGGATTCTTACATATAATGGGCGCAGTCATTAGGATTTGGGGGATGTTTTTACCCTATTATTTTTCTTGAACTCATATTTTAATGTAGGATGGTCTCAGATTTATATAAAACTTGTAAAACTAGTACAAAGAGTTCTCATACACTCAGCATCATCTCTCCTGTTAGTATCTTATATATTTGTTTGGTATGTTTGTCTCAAGTAATGAACCAATGTCAGTACATATTAACATTAACTAAAACCCATCCTTTGTTCACATTTCATTTTTTTTTTTTTTTTTACATAATGTTGATTTCTATTCTAACATTTCTCCTGGGACACACTATCACATCCAGCTCATCCATCATGCTTCCATTGACCCTTCACAGACACTTTTGAGGAACACTGGACAAGAATTTTGTAATTGTCCCCAATTGGGTATTTATGGGTTTTTTTTTTTTTGGTTGTGATGGTGGATTTTGGAAGGAAGACCACAGATCAAAATGCCATTTTCGTTGTGTCATGTTAAGGGAACATGTCAACATGGTTTAGTTCTGTTGATACTGCTCTGATCATCTGGATAAGTTCATGTTTGTCAGGTGCTTCAGAGGTCAGATTTCTCCTTCTCCATAGTCTACTTTTTGGAAGTTACTATGCTCAGAGTAACTGTGCATGAGAAGGGAGTATCTATGTACATTTACGACTTTCTGAATGAGAGTCCTGCCTACTTAGAGTAACTCACTTAATCCTGTTCTGTCCTTTTTCTGTTTTCCTAATAGTTGCCAGAAAGGTGTGAAATTGAGGCAGGAGGGAGTGGAATGCTGGAAAGGTTAGGTAAAAGTCCACACCCATCTTAAGTTCACAGACATGATTAAGAAAAGGTAGGCACTGCCTTGATACTAGCAGAGGAGGGAACCCTAGGAAAGTGACGTCTTGGGCGATTTCATACCCTTAAGAGAGCCAAGAAGACTTTTACAAAGAGCAGGAAGAGAACAGTGTGATAGTAAGTTATAACTGTGAACCTCAGGAAGGACAACAAAACCCAAGAGCTTGGGAAAATAATGCCAGTGAGCTTAGAGAGTCCCACATCCTCCTGCCTGTGAAGCCATCTCCCACTTTTTAGCTGTGGAACCTACTATTAACATGTTCTCATTTAATTCTCAGTCTAGAGGGCCATGTGTTTGTTGATTTTTTTTTTTTTAATAAAGCCTTTGGAATTGACCTTTAAGAAAACAAGGCCTGGGGCTGGAGCAATAGCGCAACGTTTGCCTTGTATATGGCCGACTCGGGTTCGATTCCCAGCATCTCTTATGGTCTCTTGCGCACTGCCAGGAGTAATTTCTGAGTGCATAAGCCAGGAGTAACCCCTGTACATCGCCGGGTGTGACCCAAAAAGCAAAAAAAAAAAAAAAATCCTTTCTGGTTAGTTCCTGTTGGTGTTGGGTTTTGGACCTCTATGACTCATGACTGCACTTCCCCTTCTCTCTCTGCAGAATTCCATCCGGCACAACCTTTCTCTGCACAGCCGCTTCATGCGTGTGCAGAACGAGGGCACTGGCAAGAGCTCCTGGTGGATCATCAACCCTGATGGGGGCAAGAGCGGGAAGGCGCCCCGACGGAGGGCCGTCTCCATGGACAACAGCAACAAGTACACCAAGAGCCGCGGCCGCGCAGCCAAGAAGAAGGCGGCCTTGCAGACAGCGCCTGAGTCCGCTGACGACAGTCCCTCCCAGCTCGCCAAGTGGCCCGGGAGCCCCACGTCACGCAGCAGTGATGAGCTGGATGCGTGGACCGACTTCCGCTCTCGCACCAACTCCAACGCCAGCACAGTCAGCGGCCGCCTGTCGCCCATCCTGGCAAGCACAGAGTTGGATGACGTCCAGGATGACGACGCTCCGCTTTCTCCCATGCTCTACAGCAACTCAGCCAGCCTCTCGCCCTCGGTGAGCAAACCGTGCACCGTGGAGCTGCCGCGGCTCACCGACATGGCGGGCACCATGAATCTGAACGACGGGCTGGCAGACAACCTCATGGACGACCTGCTGGACAACATCACACTCCCGTCGTCTCAGCCGTCGCCCCCGGGAGGGCTCATGCAGCGGAGCTCCAGCTTCCCCTACACCGCCAAGAGCTCAGGTCTGGGCTCCCCGACCAGCTCCTTCAACAGCACCGTGTTCGGACCCTCGGCTCTGAATTCCCTGCGCCAGTCTCCCATGCAGACCATCCAAGAGAACAAGCCAGCGACCTTCTCTTCCATGTCACATTATGGCAACCAGACACTCCAGGACCTGCTCACGTCGGACTCCCTCAGCCACAGCGATGTCATGATGACCCAGTCGGACCCCCTGATGTCCCAGGCCAGCACCGCCGTGTCCGCCCAGAACTCCCGGCGCAATGTGATGCTTCGCAGTGACCCCATGATGTCCTTTGCTGCCCAGCCGAACCAGGGGAGTTTGGTCAATCAGAACTTGCTCCACCACCAGCACCCGACTCAGGGCGCGCTTGGTGGAGGCCGTGCCTTGTCGAATTCTGTCAGCAACATGGGCTTGAGCGACTCCAGCAGCCTCGGGTCAGCCAAACACCAGCAGCAGTCTCCTGTCAGCCAGTCTATGCAAACCCTCTCGGACTCTCTCTCAGGCTCTTCCTTGTACTCCACTAGTGCAAACCTTCCCGTGATGGGCCATGAGAAGTTCCCCAGCGACTTGGACCTGGACATGTTCAATGGCAGCTTGGAATGTGACATGGAGTCTATTATCCGCAGTGAACTCATGGATGCTGATGGGTTGGATTTTAATTTTGATTCCCTCATCTCCACACAGAACGTTGTTGGTTTGAACGTGGGGAACTTCTCTGGTGCTAAGCAGGCCTCATCTCAGAGCTGGGTGCCAGGCTGAAGGATCGCTGAGGAAAGGGGGAAGTGGGCAAAGCAGGTCAGTGCCCATTGCTATGGCATAACGGTTAGTTAAGATGATGTGGGTGACTGGGTGGGGGTGAGGGGTGTCTGCCGTCTACTTCCTTCCGACTCCTTGCTATGTTGGGAAATTAAGAACCATGGAGCCAGGGTGCTTGATAAGCCATTGCTTCCAACTAGTTCATCCCACTGTTTTTTCACCTGCGGAACAAAAGACGTATCTGGTGTCCCTCCCCGCAGTTTGCGGACCGCTTGGGAATTTCATTGCCAGTAAAAAGAACACACTGACCCTCATTCAGAGGTTTTATTCCTTAGTATCCAGTTATCCACCCTGACCTATGACACAGATCCCCCTCCTTAATAGCAGAGGAGGATTAGAGGGGAAGGAAGAGAGCAGGGGGTGACGGACTTCAGCAGCATAAACATCTAGGTTAAGGACCCCAGTCAACAGATTTTTCTCAGACTCTCACACATTGTGATCTTTTCATGTTTTCTCCAGCTCTTTTCCCTGTAGAGATTTGCAGGTACTTTAAATTTTCCTGTAGAATGTATATTTTGGACTCTTTCACACAGGAATGTTTCTATGGGATGCAGGATCAGTTACATTCTTTGCCTTAGCACTAAATATCTTCATTATTTAACAAAGTATCTAAAACAATTAAACAGAAGACAGAGGTTTTTATTCAAAAGGCACTTACTTGCATCTCATTCTCTACCTTATAAATGATACCAGGTTTCAAACACTGCATGGACCTTGAATGGTGCAGACATTTTTAAAACAGTGGCCTTCTAATACCTAGGAACCAGAAGTCAAGCAACATGATGTAGTTTTCAAAGAAGAAATCCTGATTGGGATCACAAGTTGAGGGGCGTAGGTTTACATCTCTCTGGCTGCTCCTAGGAGTGTGTCACTTAGTCTCTAAGTCTAGTCTCTTCGTCTCTAAGCCTCAATTTCTAGTTTTATAAAATGAGGATAATAGTCCTTGTTACTTCACAGGGTTGTTGCAAGAGTCAAACGCACTAAAGTATGTGAAAGTGCTTTTGTAAAAGTGGAAAAGGCTGAAATGAGTAGCATATAATTAGGTAAACAGACTGACAGATGGAGAAGCAGAGAGCCCAGGGAGATTAAGGACTTTGCTCAGGGTCACACACCAGATCCAGAATCCGTCTTTCTCAGGCAGCTTGAACCTTCATGTTTCTTCCTAAATTTTTAGTGTTTGGAATGGAGTCACAGTAGCAGATAATGCGGAACTTACCCTGAAACTCTCCTTAAGAAGTGTGGTGAACTCCGGGTCTTCTGATAAGAATAGGTTTGCACCTCACACCTGCCCCTATTCAAGGGCTCTTCTGTGTGCCTTTTTAAAAAAGATTTCTAAATCTCAGCAAGCTCTGCTCACACTTCTTTTCATGGTATAAAAGAAAAACGGGATTCAGAGCCCCAGAAACCGGAGCCTTTTGGACCCTCTGCCCCCATGAAGGAATGACAAGGGTCTCTTACCGTGAGCCCCAGCCCCAGCTCTGGGGAGTCTAGAAAGCGGAATGTGAAGAGTCTGTGCTGCTGGGCTTCTCAGCTCTCCCAGGCAAAAGCTGCCTCTAATGGAGCTCTCATGTCTGTTTTTCGTCTTTAATAGCCCTTGAGATGATGAAAAGACTGTAATGGAAGCTAAATAGGGTAACCTGCGTCCTTGCCAGTCACAACCACAGTCAGACTCTGGCTGGTGTGGACTTGCCTTGAGAAAGGGAGGTATTTGGCTTTTAGAAGAATAAATGATTTCTCTTCTTTGAGGAAGAGGAATGTGATCTGTGGCTGCTACAGACACAATTAAAAGTTTTCATTTGGGGAAAACTTAAGTTTTGAGAAGGCTGTGTTCTGGATATTTCTAAGTTCAGAAGAAAATGTGCTATCAATTTTGTTGATTTTTTTTTCAAATGGAAGTTTCTGATGTAATCGTGTATGGCAGACAATTTGTATGTTTGATTCTGAAAGATCCGAATTCAATATGGGAGATTGAATTCAGGTTTGTTTGATTGTTAGTTTAAGTGTTTAATGGTCAGTTTGCTAAGAAATAGTTACTTTGGGGAGGAATGTGTTTTATTATTATGGCCTGTTAGAAATGTTGGGTCATTTAATCGCCTTTTTCTCAGAACAGTTTGAGGGAGGTTGTTTTGATTAAGTTATCTCTATAGTTTAAAAAAAAATGCAAAGTCACCAACTTTTCTTGGCAGCAGATGAGTTGGGTATGACCAAAACATCCTCAGAGACAAGGGTGGAGGGGGCAGGCTCCGGTTTCTGGGTGTAAGATTTCCATTTTGCTTTGGAATGAATTATTCCTCGAAAGAGCCAGGAGCAGGTATATTCTTTGCTTTTAAACTAGTGGCTCTCACTTCATTGACTCTTTCTAAATTCACTCAACAGGCCTGAAGGTACAATCTGAGTCCTCGTCTCCCAAAGAGAGCTCCTGTGCTTCCCAGGAGTTCAGCAGTGTCTTGCTTGGTTTGGCCTTTTCCTCCACCCCCGACCCCTCTCAACCAGAAGCTGTAGTGTGCTCCAGACTTCCTTCAGGGCTTGCTCACTGAAGGTCCATGACCCTGAATTGGAGCCTGTGTGTTGTGGACTTAATGGAGCAATTCATTCTGCCCAGTTAACAGACAGTCTTGCTGGAGAGCTGTGTTTGGGGACTTCTCTGGGAAGCTGGGAGTTTCACCCATCATTCACTTTAGACCACGTGTAAAATCTTTTGACCTATGGTCTGTCTATAAAAGGAAAAATAAATTACCTTTTAATGAGAGCCAGCTCCTGGGGTATGAAGGGTACTGTCTTCTTCTAAGCCCACGTAAAACCTGGTGCCTGAACTGCAGAGTGGCAGAAGGGAAGTTGATGAGTTTTTAGTGATGGCTCCTCCCATAGAGCTTTACTTCAACTTTACTCCCACTGCTATTTGGCATCAGAAGATGCCTCTACTTACTTGTTACACATTTTCATCTTTGGGGGCTCATAAGAAAGTCACCCATTAATGATTTTGTTTCACCTTCTTTATAATGGTGGGAAAACCAGGAAAAGCCCGGAAGGAAGGGAGGCGACTTTTCTGTCACTGACCACATCACTAATGAATTTCTCTTACCACATCACTAATAAATTTCTTTTAAAAGTATCACAAGAGATCCTTGAAAAGACTATGTGCTTTGTATGTGAGAGTTTGAGTCTGGGTTCTAGCCCTGGCACCTCATGGTCCCCTAGCACTACCAGGAGCAATTACTCACCTCCCCCTGCCTGCTGCCACCCCCCACCCTACCCCCAGTACTTAACCAGGAGTAACCCCTGGGCACCACTGGATATGTCCCCCAAACCAAAATTTCTTGACTCTGAAAAGAAGTCAGTCATAGATTCTATTCATTCGTTTAGGTTTGGGCAGTGCCACGGGCTTATTGCTGGCTCAGCACTCAGGAATCTTTTCTGGCAATTCTCGGGGGACCATATGGGATGCAGGGAATTGAACTCAGGTTGGCTACATGCAAGACAAGCACCCTACCGTATCACTGTGGCCCCCAGGATCATTGAGTTTTAAAGGTGATTGGTACATAGAAATTTAAACCTGAGACCTGCTGTTCTGTTGGGAAATGACTTCAGTAAAAAGAGAGTTGTTAATACGCCATCAGAAAGAAACGGGGGTTTAGTATGAGAAAAGAGCAGTGTCCAGTGTAGGGGCAAACTCTGAAAGGAGTACATCTCTGATGCTTGGGCACCCCTGTTAGTGCATCTTTAAATATGTATGTTGGTGGATAGGACTAATTACAATCAAATATACACAGCATAGGTGATTGGTGCCACTTTTTCATTGATGTGGAGATTTCTGTTTTCAAGGATGCAGCTTATGACAAATGCGAATCTGTGTGTCATCTACGGAAGCCTGAGTCTCTTCCTTGCACTCACAACTCTGATTCTTTTACTCCAGCGTCAAGAAGCCTGCATTTCTGCTGGGCTTTTTTCTTGCCTTTAGAAAAGCCTGAGATTGGAACTGCTGCTCATAAACTGAACTGCTTGGTTTGCGTTGTCAGCAGTAAAGGAGAATGAACGCAGCTGTGGAAAGGGGCTTTGTGGTCGAGCTGGTGCACCCCATAGTCCCTTCCTTCCCCAAGGAAGGTGACTCCCCGTACCCTGGATGTCCTTTCAGGCCCGCAGGCTTCATTGCACCCTGGCCTCCTGGCCAGCCGCCAAGCATGGGGACAGAGCCTAAGTGGCTCTCAGCAACAAGCAATTGTGTTTATCAGTGGCCTTCTGGAAGGTCTTTTTCTGGTCATACCTTAGGAGAGCATATCTCTCCAGCCCAGAAATCAGAGTTTTAAAGACTCAGAACCCTCTCCTCCACCTCTTCAACTCCCCCCCACACACACACACTTACATACCCACATATGCATTCCCAGTCTAGATCTTGTCTACAGCAGTACTTTCTGTCTATATTCAAGGAAGATTAAGCCTTGTTCAAATAAGTGGTGTGCACGACTTGGATATAAGAGGTCCTGAGTTTGAGGTCCAGCACCACATGCTCACCCTTCCCAGCACTGCCTACCGTGGCCCCGGCAAGCCCCAGCACCACTGGGTCTGAGCAGCAGCATATCCCCTGTCCCTGAGCATCTAATCTCAGGCCAGGCACCCCCAGGTTGCTGGAAGTGGCCCCCAGGCTTCCCTCCCTGGTAGGAGTCCCCCTCCCCCTCTTGCCCATCTGCCACCAAAATCTTAAGCCCTGGCAAATGTGAGTAGGTCTCAAGTGCTTCTAGGATGCTGCCACTCTTACTGGATTTAGTGTTTGTTTGGCAATGGGGAGGAGAGGAGAACTCCAGACAGGTGGGGGTTGGTTCTTCCATTCAGCCAGAATGTCATGGGCACCTGTCCTGCATCTCACCTTGTAGTCTACAGAGTCTAGAAAATTTAATTTTTTCTGGCAGGCAGATTCCATGTTTAACAACAGTACTCTTAAAATAGATGCCCCTCATGTGATTTGACTCAAAAACTTTGCCTTC